CACACACACACACACACACACACACAAAAGAATTGTATAGTTTAGCCAACACGTCTTGCTTCTCTTTATCCTCATTCCTACCACATCTTCGTGGCAAATTGGCAAGTCGAGACAGTTTATTATACCAGTATCTGAACATGGTAAGGAGGCTCTTTTTGAAGAACACATTTTTTTCCCCAGATTTACAGAAAAGTATAGAGTGAGCTTGTTTATCATTGAAGAGTTTATATGCTACTAGATGAGATTTCAAACAAGGAGAGGTTTTATTGTGTAATGTGTTTAATGTGTTGGTTTGCATGGTCCTCTCTCCTCTTGCTACAGAAGGGCAGAAGGTTAAAGGTATGGGAATTCTTTATTCATTTACCAAGGTTTTTTTTTTTTTTCTTTTGTCCATATCTGAATCAGGTGTTGTGTTAGACTCTGACAGCATGAACCCTCCTCATAGGCCCTGAGTTGGGGGGGCAGCATTAAAGGCTGGTATCTGTTAAATGTTGCTCTATCATATATGAATGTGCCATGGGTGAAGTGTTTAGGATTTTTAGTAGAACCTAGACTTACAGCAATAATGCAGTCCTGGAAAATTTCCCAATTTTGGAAAAGAGATGTGGGGAAGTAGAATGCTACCAGAGCTCCTGAATATCTGTTCACGTCTTACAAATTTAATAATCTTAAACAGACAAACCAAAAGTGAAATGGCCAGCATCTTTAATTTTAGAAGAGCTGGTTTTTACCAAAGTTATTCAGTGGGCAGTGATATTACATTTTAACTAGTCATCTATCCTTATCATCCAAAAGAGGTAACAGTTTGATGCTTTCATTATCTATAGTGCTGCTATAACAGAAATACCACAAGTGGATGGCTATAACAATTTTTTTTCTCACAGTTAAGGAGGCTAGAAGTCTGATTTCAGGGCTTGGTTTCTCTTTATCAGCTCTCGGGGAAAGTCCCTATTCTTTGGCTCCTTGGTGATCTTCATGTGATATGGTGTCTACCTTCTCCCATCTCTGCTCTCCCCCTGTGCTTCTTTAATGTCTATTATATATTATATTATAAATGGAAAATATGGTCTTGGTGATAGAAATGATGCCAGGATCTCATGATAGAATTTTGCAAGACCAACAACTTAATCATTGCAAATACTTTTTTTCAACAACAGAAACAGTTACTATACACATGGACCTCACCAGGTAGAATACACAGGAATCAAATTGACTACATCTGTGAAAAGGGGTGATGGAGAAGTTCAGTATCATCAGTCCAGATAAGGCCAGGAGCTGACTTGTGGAACAGACCATCAGTTGCTCATATGAAAGTTAAAGTTGAAGTTAAAGAAAATTAAAAACAAGTTCACGAGAGCCAAAATATGACCTTGATTATATCCCACAGGAATTTAGAGAGCATCTGAAGAATAGTTGTGACACACTGAATGCCAGTGACTGAAGACTAGATGAGTTACGGTATGACATTAAGAACATCATATATAAAGAAAGCAAAAGATCATTAAAAATACAAGAAAAGCTCAAGGAAAATTTAGGGTCAAACTTAAAGGCCCTAATATTTGGTATAAATAGACTACCAAGCATAATTCAAAATGCACCAACAGCAGAAGAGAAGCCAGATGATTGGGACCTTCTAA